GCTATGTTATCTTCAGTCATCCTGTCAAACACCACTTGCTATTTGGTTTCTGGTTGCTTGCCTTTGCTTGTATCTGCTGCAAGACCATCTTTATATAGGACATTCTCGTTGAAGGTAACATCTCTACTTGTGATAACCTTCTTAATGTGGTTGTCCCAGAACCTGTAGCCCATGTTATCCAACCCGTACCCAATAAAGATACATTTCTTTGCCTTTGCCTCGAGCTTGTCACTATCTGCATCTCTAACTTTGACATAAGAAATATAACCAAAAACTTTCAAGTGATTAAGAGATACCTCTCGACCTTTCCATTCCTCTTCTGGAATTTTGAAACCTATGGGAGATGAGGGTCCTCTGTTGATCAAGTACGCTGCTGTGTTCACCGCATCGGCCCAGAACATCTTGGGAAGTCCTGCATGCAATCTCATGCTCCTGACCCTCTCATTCAGTGTTCTGTTCATCCTCTCTGCAACACCATTTTGCTGTGGTGTTTCTGGAACCGTCTTCAGCATCCTGATCCCCTATTCAACACAATACTCTACTAACTCTGTGCTACTGTACTCGCCCCCATTATCACTCTTTAAACACTTAATCTTAAGATTTGTTTCATTCTCAACTGCAGCTTTGAACTTCTTAAAAGTGTTAAAGACATCAGCTTTATTTTTAAGAAAATAAACCCATACCTTCCGTGTAGAGTCATCAATGAATGTAACATAGTAGCGGGAACCTCCAATCGAAGAGACCTTTGTAGGTCCGTAGACATCTGAATGAATCAACTCTAGCTGCTCAGACTTGGGTTGTTGTCCTGTCTTCACAAAGGTTGCCCTCTTTTGTTTGCCAATGACACATGGCTCACAAAAGCTCAACTTTGAATTCTTCAAATCTGGGATATTTCCCTTTGAAGACAGCATCTTCATTCTATTCTCACATATGTCCCAAGTCTTTGGTGCTACAAAGTAGAGACCCCTGCATCTTCAACTGCTGCGTTTGCTCCATCTGTGGACACTTCAACTATGTATGGTGTACCATGCTTCTGTCCACGAGCAATGACCAGCTTTCCCTTTGTCACCTTCCATTCCTTGTTGCCAAAACTAACGTTATGGCCTTCATCATCAAGTTGTCCCACTGAGATCAACATCTTCTTCAGGTCTGGAATATACCTTACATCTTTCCCAGGTTGTGCCCAAAGTGGTACTGAGATCAACATCCCCAATACCCGTGATCTCCAGGGATTTATCATCCACCAAATGAACTCTTCCGCTGTAGGGCCTGAAATTTTTCATCAAATCCCTACAATGACAAGCATGAAACGACGCACCTGAATCCATGATCCAGGACTCAATTTAATTCTCAGCGCTGCAAATTAGAACATCTTCATAATCCTCTGCCACGTTCACCTCCTTCTTGCCTTTGTCTACAGAGGCTTTTGGGCACTGATTTCTAAAGTGTCCATTCTCCTTGCAATTCCAACAATTGATGTCCTTCCTGTTCTTGGATTGACCTCTCTTCCTCGACTTTGATCTTCCTTTCTTGTTACCCCCTTTAGTGGATTTTCTGCCCCTATCTTCAGTACTCAACAAACTGTTGGAGCTATCCCCTGAACTCCTCCTCCGGATATCCTCCCCAAGGATTAAGTCACGAATACCTTCAAAAGTAAGCTTAGTGGTTCCAGCCGAACTACTAACTGTTGTGACTGTACCGAACCAGCTATCGGGCAAGGATGATAACAAAAGTAATGCTTGAACTTCATCATCGAATTTAATCTCAACCGAGCCTAACCTGGATATGATTGAATTAAATTCGTTGACGTGATCTGTCACAGCTGCATCTTCCTTCATCCTTGTGTTCACCAACTGTCTGATTAAGAAAACCTTGTTGGCCGCTGAAGGTTTCTCGTACATGTTGGATAACGCCTTGAGCAGTCCAAACGTTGTCTTCTCGTTGACGATGTTGTAAGCAACATTTTTCGCCAACGACAACCTCACCACACCACACCAAGAGCCTGTCGATCCAGCAAGTTCCACTCCGCCTCCGCCATCGATTCTGGTTTGTTCTCAGACAAGGGTAGATGGAGCTTCTTCTGGTAGAGATAATCCTCGATCTGCATCTTCCAGAAAGCGAAATCTTGACCATCAAATTTATCGATCTTAACCTTCCCTTCGTCAGCCATAGCTCTGATACCAATGGTTACGATTAGGTTAAGTAAAACGATAAATTAAAGAGCTAGAACACAAGAATTTACATGGTTCACACAATCGGGTTGATTGTGCTAGTCCACGGCGAACGAGAGAGAGCTATGTATTATGATGTCGGCGTCAGAGGTTTTCACGTACATAAGATGTGTTTAAATAGGTTTAAGAAAACCTAAACAATGATTAGAGCCGCAGGCCCAAAATTAAGTCCGTAATTAAAAATTTCCCGCATACCCGATCGAGTAAACCCATGTACTCGATCGGGTGTGGAATCCAGAGAGTTGCCCGAGTAATACTTCCCGCATACCCGATCGAGTAAACCCATGTACTCGATCGGGTGTAGAATCCAGAGAGTTGTCCGAGTAACACCATCCTCATACCCGATTGGGTAATCCAACCTACCCGGTCGGGTATATACTCCAGTATTCAAAACAATGCTCCATCTTCAACAAGGAATTCACGGATGCCCTGGTGACTCGTTTTGATTCATGGTTCAAGGGCAACCGATTTGAACGGCTGTCCGGGGCCAAACAGTTGGGGACCATAGAAGAATATAATAACCTTTTTGTGCAGTTTGCCAGTCAGGTTTCTGGGCTGTCCGAGGATCATTATTTGGGCTATTACATGAGTGGGCTTAAGGATACAATCTGAAGCTCGCTGCGATTACTTCGGCCGATCAACCTGGAGATGGCTATGGAATTAGCTCGCGAAGTGGAGCATAATCTGTCCGTCCAAAGTGGAGAAGGTGGCAACCTGAATTATCATTCTTCAGGGGTACGTTCTAGCAGCGTTTTAATGGCAAGCACAAGTTCCCCGTTGACCGCCATTGGTGGCAGCTTACAGGGTTCGGAAGGCAGCTTTGCGAAAGATAGTGGACAGCCTTCGGGGATGAAATCAGGGCTGTCCGGGCAGCCTACGAGACGCTCTCAGTTCACTCGACTTCCGCCGAAAGAGTTTGCAGAATTGAGGGCGAAAGGATTATGCTTTAGGTGCAAGAAACAATTTACGCCGGGGCATGATTGGTCCCTTTAAGCAGCTGCGGGTAATGATAGCTGAGGAGGATTAAGAGTTAGACCTTAAGCAGCATGAATTTTGCGAAATAACCGGCCAGGAAAGGGTTCAGGAAAGAGAAGAAGGATATTTTCCATCTATTCTATGTCTAGAAATTTCAGTTCCCGACCCGCGAGTTTTCAACCTTGAGGACAAGGTTAATTTAAAGGGGGATGGATTGATATGGAGCGGGAAGAGCATGGGGCGGGACAGGCTTAAGCACACCTTCGTGGGCTGGTTGCGGGTTATTTAATTAATATTTATTCTTTTTATTTTTCCCGATTTGTTTCCTTTTGGGGTTAATTAGGATTTCTATTATTTCTTTCCTATTTGGAGTTGATTAGGATCTTTATTATTCTGTTTCCTAGTTAGAGTTGATTATGATCCTTATTATTCTGTTTCCTAGTTAGAGTTGATTATGATTTCTAGGATTTTGTTTCCTAGTTTAATTATTAGTAGATGGGTATTTAAATCCCTTGTTAGGATTCATTCTGGCTCATCTTGGAATAAAAGTTGGTTTAGCCTTTTGGCTCTGGGAAACGGTATTTATTTATCGTTGATTATCTGGGCAACGGTTCACCCTGTTGATTTTATTTTTCTGTTCTTATCACAGAGGTAGTAAGTGATTTCTTTTACCTAGCATTTCTTGTTATTCTACATGTTTCAGCTTGAGGGGGAGAGTTGTAGCTGTACATAATGAGGTGTAAACAACGGCAGAATGTTGTCTAAACTGCTGTTGATTTGTAACTGGACATCTCATAACTAGTTTGCAGTTGCGAGTTCCTATTTTACAGCAGAGACATTTTAGTGTTATCCTGTTTTAAGCATTTATTGTCATTTGAGAGTGTACTGAGCTATCCAAGTTCAAGAATCAAGAATCATATTAGTAACAGTTAGTAATGTTTTTTTTTAGTATTTTCATTGTTATAAATGTATTGGTGAATTAATTAATTCATTTATTATTTCACTACAGTTGAGTCTTTAGAAGATGGCATGAGGAAATTATATCTGGATGATGCTATTGATGAAAATGGCTCAATTACATGTCTTGGATGAACCATGTCTGGTAAAAAGACATTCTGCTGGTTGATTGAAATCTTCAACAAAGTGGACATGTATATAGTTCTCTAGTAATGCTGTTGTTAAGGCTAGAGGTTTACCTTCCAGGTTATAAATAATATGTATTTATTAATGTTGAGTTATAATTTGTTCTAAAGTGCACGATAATTGTTTCAAATTAAATAAAGGTTATTACAATTTAAAATCCCCCTAAACTTGATCACAATGGCTCTTCTTGGGTTTTCATCTTTTGAAAGTAATCTCTAGCAGTTTAATTTGTGAGTTGTTGTGACTCTTTGAAATAAACATATTTCTTTAAAACAAAACAAGATTGAACTAAAAAACGAATCAAGAACTGATTTTATTACTAAAGTTACTTATCCAAATTAACTTCTCAAGGCATTGAAGTACCCTTTTATTTTTGAAACAACAATTTTGGGATCATACTCATCAAGAACTGATTTTATTACTAAAGTTACTCATCCAAATTAACTTCTCAAGGCATTGAAGTACCCTTTTATTTTTGAAACAACAATTTTGGGATCATACTCAAAATTCATAATTACCATTCTTTAAAAGAGAGGTATAGGTTTGACTTGCTACGTTTCACCATTCAATTCTTTCTGGATAGAAATAGTACGCATTTCTACAACTTGCGCTTATAAAATGGACATACCACAACTCTCTCATCCCCTTTCGGAGAAAAGGATTTCCAAAGGTATTAAGCATATTCCTCCCTCTCATTTTTTCTTTTCATCAGATGACAATAGCGTTCCTCTTGCCTCCTAAAGTTGGAAGAATTTGTGTTTCCACTACCATTTTTCTTCCAATTTTGAGTTTATACCTCATTTCTAAAATCAATGTAGTTGCACCCCTAAATGTTGTAGTTTACAATTATATTCTTTGAGGTTGGAGTTTGTATCCCACTTTTAATACTACTTTCGTCCCACAATTAAATTCCCAATTTGACTCTATGACCATTTAAATGTTAATTTATTATAGATGTTATAAGTTTTCATAATCTGAGTTTGGAGTCAAATTTCATAATTTGACCATTAAGTTTTCAAAATTTACATTACCTTATCACACAAAATCAATTTCATATATTTTATTGCAATATATATGATTTAAAATTTTAAATGTTAATTTATTATAGATGTTATCATTTTTTCATCATTTTCATTTACCCCAGTGCCGCAAAGGCTCCCGCATACGGTGGGGTAAGGGGGGGGTCGGATGTACGTAGTCTTACCCCTATACTAAAGCACAGAGAGACTGTTTCTGGATGACCCATAGTGAAAATCGTGTCCAAAATTGCATGGACTTACTGCTGCTTCATAACAAAGAAGCACAGACAGTTTAGTGAGCCATTTTACTTTATTCCATCATATTCTCAAGCCAAAAAATAATGAATCTTTGGCCCCATTGCAAATGATGGAAAATTATTATAGATGTTATAAGTGTGTGTGTGTGTATATATATATATATATATATATATATATATGTTGTAAGATACTTAGATTCAAATTTTTGTAAAAAGTCAAATTGGGAATTTAATTGTGGAACAGAGTAGTTTTTTTAGTTTTGGTGCAAATGATCTCAAAAATGGGTCATAAACTAAAATTTGGATGAAAAAGCGGTGCAAACTCTAATTCCCATTCATAAACAAGAATTTTGATTTCTTTTTCTGTCTAGCTAGGTTGGTATTTTACAATAGAATCCAAGTATTAATAATATATTTTTGCACTTTTTACCTGCATTTATTCACTTACTTTCCTGAACCTTAAATTTACACTTACAACTATCATGAACAGGTTGATGATTATATTGATTGCATAAAACATTTAAACATCAACTTTGGACCTTGGAGGAAAAAATGTCAAGGTGTCGTCTATTACGAACATGTGGAAATTCATTCTTAGCAATAGCTCAAATTATCTGCAAAAGAATGCAAGAGCTAAAGGCGCCAATAGGACCACTGTCAAAGAAAATTATATCTTTATCAACTTGTGCACTTCCCTTCAAATATGGCTTCCAAATCCAATGGCTATCAATTCTCTTGTATATAGCAGATGAATGTATCCTGAAATCCGAGACGATAACCGAAACGGCTTTTCCTCGACTAACACCTATATTCGACAAGATTCACGAACTCGCCAATGTGGTCGACCGCCTTCCGATAGTGTTCGAAGCGACATTATTAAATAAGTTCCCGGTACTAATGCACCGGGTGCCATTTCTTGATTGGGCATTAGTCCATTTGATAGCATGGCTAAGTTTTCTGGTTTCAGCACTCACTCATTGGGGTTCTAAAAACATGAAAGAAAAAGAGATAACCGTTGACACGGGTTGTAATGACCATAACCATGTCAGACGCACTAAGAAAACCGAGATTAGCGCGACTGAGAATGCATCATTCCAAACACATGTTTCACCATTTCCCGCTCTCCAATGCACAAAAGGCAAACGGGGACCGGTAATGGTGTCAAGTCCACAGAGTTCATCCCCATCGGACAGTACTAAAATGGATTGTACAGATATGTCTAGTATGAATGGATCTGTAGGAAAGTGCAGCTACAAGGAAGTTCTCACTAAAGGGGTGAAAGATGGAGACAGTGAAGTCTTTAATAATGCTAAAGTAAAGAAACATGGAATCATTCCTTTGGACAATTATCTTAAAACCATGAGCTATGAAGAAGAAGAAGACAAGAGAGAAGGACTACATATACCCAGTGATCAAGATAGTGTCCATAGAAACAAGAAAGGGAAGGTGGAGAAAGATGAAATCTTGCAACTGTTTGATACTAGCTGGAGTCTATGTTGATCTAAAGGGATTTTGCCTATGCCAAAGTGTCACATAGTGTGTGTAAATTAATAGATTAGATAATGTAACATTATCTAGTTTTGTAATTATAGGACAGCTTATGTATTTAAGCTATTGACATTAAAATTAACTATCAAGTCATGATCTTGATATTTTAGAATGTAATCACAAGTTTTAATATCAGCTCCCACTTCAATGCAATGTATGTGAAACAATACAATTCTTTTACGGTGGAGTTATGAGCTTGCAAAGGAATTTATTGGGGCTGTTTTGGTAATAAAGTACTCGTATTATTTTTTGCATGAACCGATGAGGCGATGAATATGGAATAAATTATCACCCTTTTAAAAAGTTAAGTAGATGAGGTGCAGAATACAAGTTGCCTCTCATTATTTCCACATGTTGTAAGTCAGATCCGTTGCACACTTCGACTCCAATAAATTGTATTAGGGGTGTTCAGCTAAAAAATGGTGCGTGATTTGACCTCTTTTAGCGTTTTCAATAAAGTGAAAACAATGTTTGGTAAACAGTTGATTGGTCCTAGCGTTTTTGGACGGAACTGTTGAAATGAAAACGGTACAAATATCAGAGTTTTGAGTTAGCGTTTTGAAATCGGTGTTTTCTATTAAATGTTATGGCCAAATAGCTTAATTACCAAACATGTTCTTGCAATCCGTCAACCTAATTCGCTAGTGAAACCCACTGATTATTAAATCTGCTATTGACAACCCTCTAACATAATACGTGATCTGCTAAATGCTAAACACGCCCATTATGTAAAATCTTATTTTGCTTCATACGCCATACATATTGAGTATTAGAAAGTTATCAATTTCGATTTAAATTTTTGTTAAATTGATTAAAAAAATTGGAAGTTGACTTTGCATTTCATGTTTTAATTGATACTTGACTTTACGTCTCATTTTCAAAATCATTAATGTGTGTACATCATTCATCCAGAAATTGTGAAGCAAAATCAAAGATTACCCAATAACCACGAATGGAGTGTAAATTCAAATTCTCCCATAGTTTTTTACTCTAATTTATACTCCAAAAATTATAAGTACTCGTAGTAAGTACTCGTATTTAAGTATTGCCAAAGGGAGAAATTCTACATTACTCTCAAAATACAAGCACCTTGCATTGTACTACCTCCGTTTTTAAATAAGTGCAACATGTGAAATTTTATACTATTCACATGTTCTACTTTGATTACATTTTATTTATTGATATATTAATATATATATATATTTTTTGAAAAATATATTATTAAATTTGTCTTATTGTAAATTTTCAAAAACTGATTTTTTAAATTTTTTACTGATAGAGAATTATATATATATTAATGGTCAAAGTTGTGTCTCGACAAGTGTGAAATATTGATTGTTACACATATTTAAGAACGGAGGAAGTATATCGCAATTATTCACATAAATCAATTAAAATATTGCAATTGAATATTTAAGCATAAACAAATGATTTTTTATGGGGACATACTACGTATATAGTGAGCAAAAACACATTAGTCAACATCTAACTCGTTTGGCTAAAAACTCCAAATGGCAAATCTTTGTGGGTCCGTATGAGTAAATAGAAACATCGTCTAATCCGCTAACAGCTAACAGCCAACCGCCAATTGCCACACTCCCTAACTAATCAAGCTAAAAACACCGTAACAAAAAGCTAAACAACGTAAACTAGCTAGGATGAAGAAGAAGAGACGAACTTCATGCAGATGGGCGCTTTAGCGCCGGCCAAAGCCAGCACAGCTGCCGGGATTCCCCACAAAGACTCGCCGCAGATAAGCCCCGACGCCACCGCCGGCCCAAAGTCCCTCGCCTTCTGCCGGTCAGACCTCCGCCACAGAAACAGAATCAAGCTGCCGACACACATATCAATGGCGAAGTATCCCCCGAGGTAGAACGGGATGGCCATGCACATAGGACTAGGAATGAACCGATATATCCCCATCCTCTTCTCGTACTTCTTCAGCACCTCCACCAAGGCGTTGACCAAGACCGCCGCGACGAAAAACCCGACGGCCAGGCGGAGGCAGTTGTGGGGGAGGGAGCCGAAACCCTCGACGCCGAGCAAGGCGATGCCGCGGTACATGAGCGCGTAGGGGGCGGGGTAGGACCCGGTCGGGTCACCGAGAGGGTAGGCCTTGTAGAAGATCCAGAAGACCAGCGGCGTGATGACGCAGCCCATGGCGGTGCCGATGACCTGGCTGAAGAACATGGCCCGCGGCGAGGCTAGGGTGAGGTACCCGGTCTTGAAGTCCTGCATGAGATCGGAGGCGGTGGAGACAATGCTCATCATCACGCCACAGGAGGCGAGGCCCGCAAGGACCCCGCCTCCATTAAGGCCGACCCAGGCGCTAAAAACCAAGATGGCGACTTTGCCATAGTTGGAGGCGAGGGACCAGTCGGTGAGGCCACAGCCGTAGGCGTTGCAGAAGGCGAGGACGGGGGCCATGGCGTAGGCGACGAGGATGTGGTACCATTTGAGAGGGTGGAAGATGAGAGGGACGACGAGAATGGAGATGGCGGCGAGGGCGATGTAGCCTCCTATTCCTACCCATTTGGGTATGGAGTCTTTCAAGAAGTACTCTTTCCTTATTTTCTCATCATAATCACTGTCATCACCATCATCATCTTCTTTTTTGCTGCTGCGCTTTGCCAAGCTTAGGGTGGTGGTTATGATCATGTAAACGAAGTGGAAAAGCCCATCGCCTAGCATCATGGCAATGGCAAGGAAGACCTGCAACGTATTTACATTTTCACCATCATGGTTATCAGTATTTCAAGAAATTGTTACTTCAGCTTAATAGTAGAGTTACTACAGGTAATAAATTGATTAAATTCTGTTACATCTCTAAAAAGTTGGAAAACTTTGACTGACATATCCGTAGTACTTCATGCAACTACATTAAAAGTTTTATTGATTTGCAAAAAATGAATGCAAACTTAATTTTTAGAAGTTTAATAATGTATAGGATCGCAGTATATAAAAGAGGAAATTACTCTAAATAAAATGAAAATAAGTTAAAAACGATAAGAGCACTTAATTGGCAATATGAAAATAAACTTAATTTTGGGTGGGAAGTATTAAATTTTGTTTTTGTTATTTAATTTAATTTTGACGATAGAATGGAAAATAGTCCAGATATATATACCCAAAGTTCAATCCTTAACCCAAAAGTTGTAATTTTTTGGAATACCCAAATTGGGGAAGTTAAAAACATTGTAAGGGATCGAATGACATCATGAAAACCATTCACCACTTAAAAGTACCCGCTCTCTCCCAAATTGATTTACAAAGTCAATATTTTTTGTCAATCAATATTGAAATTAAATCCTTCATATCGATAATTAATTAAAATTTACATACTCAAAAACTATACAGAATAGCCTGTTTTGTTGGTAGAACAGACTGGCAGCAGATGGTCTTCTGGTAGGGGTTCTGTCCGGATAGTCTAAAAAACAACTAAGGCAGTAGTAGGCCTTCTATCAACTCTTGAGTCCAGATCTGCTGAACACAGAGTCCAGATCTATTAGATTTAAAAAGTCATAAGTAAATGCAGATAATTAAAGGTAGTAAGTAAATGACATCAGAGATTTTTATAGTGGTTCAAGGAACAACACGTTCCTCTAGTCCACTGTTTCACTAAACTTGTAAAAATACAGATTACACAGCCTTAATCCTAGCACTTAAGAAGCTCTCCACGTCTTCTTCATGCCTAGTTGTCTCCCGGGATGCACTTCCTTGCTTCATGATGACTGGTCCTTTCACTGAGTCTCATTTGAAGTATCCCCACTTCACTTACTCCAGTTACTTTGGACGCCCTTCTTAAAAAGAAGACTGTTTGTAAAAACAGAGGTTCCCCAACGTTGCTTCGTTAAAGATATGTAGATGAGGCTTTTGTAAGGTTGAAGAACTGGAGGAACTTTGCTCTTTTGTTGGATGAGGAAGATATGAGAGTATATCTTATCCAACTTCAATTTTTTCTTGTTGAGAGTGATGAAGATTAAATCTCAAGAATGCTTGTTTGAATAATTGTAGAGAGAACAAAAGTTATCCGGTTTGTTTTTCGAAGTGCATCTTATATGCTGGGGGTTGTCTTCCCGTTGGAGTGTAGAAGACAGCCGCATTAAATGCTTGTACTGTAGATTTGACCGGTTGGTTCCAAAAAGCAAACGGCTTGCTATTAAATGGGAATTTAATGCGCGTACTGTACTTTCCTGTTGAGGAGCTTCTAGCCGTTAGGGCCCCGTTAGTTTAACTGGCTTAGATAGCAGCGTAGAATTCCCTAAGTGTGAGGCCTTCTATTGGATCTCTTAAGGAGTACAGTCCAAGAACACCTTGAGCACTTCTATCTAGCAGAGGCAGCAGAGGACTTGGGGTCTTCTATCCAGTCGAATAAACTATTGCACTAGGAAATTTCTACTACAATTTTCTAAAGGGGTACTGTTCTAAATGCCTAAATAGTCTAGCATCATCAAAATCTAAATTTCCCCATTTTTTATGATGCCAAAACACTTATTTTACTCTCCAGAGATGTGTCATTCGCCTTTTACATAAATTGAAACGGAAAAATTTCCATGTGGCCTTTTAAACTTGGTGGGCAACATGCATAAGAAAGTAGTAAGTATTTGAAGAAACGTAAGAACAAACATGATTGCAATAATAAATAAACAATATATTTTATTCAAACGTAATGGATCAACATACAGAGAGAAGAAGACTTAAATAAAAGCAGTAAGTATTTTCAGCACTGTTCTCCTTCTGTTCTGTTCTATTCCCTTTTATTTTCTACTTCGTGCTCTCCACGTCTCAGTTCTCTTCCCCCTTTTTGGAATTAGCCATATGGAGAAGCAGCAGATGCAATTGACCGATTGCATCAGGGAGGTGACGAAGAGCATCCAGCGAGCTCTGTTGCTGCTGGTGTCAGGCTTCAACCTCCTTTGAAAGAAGGTGAACTCGCTCCATTAACACGGAGTGGGCCTCCTTGACCTCTGTCAAGGAGTCGGTCAATTGGCGAATTTCAGAGGTTAAGTCATTGAGGTTTTCTGATGTTCTAGGTATGCCTAAGATTTCCCGCTAAGCGTATGCAGTATTAGAAGATGAGTGGTGGTGTGTTTTGTACGGTGTTCTGTTGAATTTATAGGTGAAGAGGAGCATCCAACGCTTCATAAGGAAGGTTTTATTAACAGAATATCTCCAATAATAACACATTAAATTTTGCGATTAAGAGGATCACCATTAATCAGTATGATATCTTCGCAAGCCGTTGAGTCAGGCTTCAACCTCTTTTGAAAGACGGTGAACTTGCTCCATTAACACGGAGTGGGCCTCCTTGACCTCTGTCAAGGAGTCGGTCAATTGACGAATTTCAGAGGTCAAGTCATTGAGGTTTGCCATTGAGAGTAAGTACTCTGAGGTTCTAGGTATGCCTAAGATTTCCCCCTAAGCGTATGCAGTATTAGAAGATGAGTGGTGGTGTGTTCTGTACGGTGTTCTGTTGAATTTATAGGTGAAGAGGAGCGTCCAACGCTTCATAAGGAAGGTTTTATTAACAGAATATCTCCAATAATCACGCATTAAATTTTGCGATTAAGAGGATCACCATTAATCAGTATGATATCTTCGCAAGCCGTTGAGTCAAGCCGATATCCAATATTTGTTTCAAATTTGAATACCTGCATTTTCTAGGGTGCTCTGTACCCTAAGAACATATGGGATTTTAAGAATGAATAAAAAAAAATCTCACTTGAATATTCTGCGCAAGAGATCCCCGAATAGCCCAAGCCCATAAATCAAACTTGAACTTTCCTCAACTTGTTCCTCAAAATTTTTCTAAGTTCACGACCTTCTGAAAGGGGGGGGTCTCTGTCCCAGAGGGGTTCTGGTACAGAGAGGCGTTCTGTAGCAGGGGTATTTGGTCACAGAGGGGTTCTCCTTCAATGATCTATGGGATATCATCCATCATTACCAGTTCTTCTCTCATCTTGTTAAAACCTCGCCTCAGTGAGAGGTTTAGTGAATATGTCTGCCAGCTGGTCTTATGTTGATACGTGCTCCATGCATATGTGCTTCTTTTCAACGTGATCTCTGATGAAGTGATGTCTGATCTCAATGTGTTTTGTCCTTGAGTGTAGCACAAGGTTCTGGGTGATGGCAATTGCACTAGTGTTGTCACAGAGGAGCTTGATCTCCTTTGCATGAATGCCATAATCCTTGAGTTGTTGCGTCATCAAGAGCAGTTGATATCGGCACCCTAGAAAATGCAGGTATTCAAATCTGAAACAAATATTGGATATCGGCTTGACTCAACGGCTTGCGAAGATATCATTACTGATTAATGGTGATCCTCTTAATCGCAAAATTTATTGCGTGATTATTGGAGATATTCTGTTAATAAAACCTTCCTTATGAAGCGTTGGACGCTCCTCTTCACCTATAAATTCAACAGAAGACCGTACAGAACACACCACCTCTCCTCTTCTAATACTACATATGCTTAGGGGGAAATCTTAGGCATACCTAGAACCTCAGAGTACTTACTCTCAATGGCAAACCTCAATGACTTGACCTCTGAAATTCGCCAATTGACAGACTCCTTGACAGAGGTCAAGGAGGCCCACTCCGTGTTAATGGAGCGAGTTCACCTTCTTTCAAAGGAGGTTGAAGCCTGACACCAGCAGCAACAGAGCTCGCTGGATGCTCTTCATCACCTCCCTGATGCAATCGGTCAATTGCATCTATTGCTTCTCCATATGGCTGATGCCAAAAAGGGGGGAAGAGAACTGAGATGTGGAGAGCACGAAGTAGAAAATAAAAAGGAATAGAACAGAACAGAAGGAGAACGGTGCTGAAAAGACTTACTTCTTTTATTTAACTCTTCTTCTCTCTGTATCTTGATCCATTACGTTTGAATAAAATATATTGTTTATTTATTATTGCAATCATGTTTGTTCTTACATTTCTTCAAATACTTATTGCTTTCTTATGCATGTTGCCCACCATGTTTAAAATGTAACATGGAAATTTTTCCGTTTCAATTTATTTAAAAGGTGAATGACACATATCTGCAAAATAGAATAAGTGTTTTGGCATCATCAAAGAGGAGGAAATTGTAAGGAATAAATTGTACTTAGATTTTGATGATGCTAGACTATTTAGGCTTTTAGAACAAAACCCCTTTAGAAAATTGTATTAGAAATTTCCATGTGTAAGCACTAGTGGACAGAAGACCTTCAGGCCCTCTGCTGAACTCTTGCTGGACAGAAGTGCTCGAGGCCCTCTGTGATTGCCCCTCTGTGTAGCACACCAGAAGCCACCTATGCCGGTTAATCTAACGGAAGATTCCCTCAACGGCTAGAAGCTCCCTAATGGGAAAACTACAGCACGCGCATTAAATTCCCATATAATGTGCTTCACACGTTGATATATTTAAAGTTGATGATTGATCAAGGATCCAAAAAGAATATTTTTATTCGCCAAAAAATGGCAAGCTGTCTGCTTTTGGAACAAACCGGTCAAATATATAGTACGGGAAGACAACCCTAGTATAACTTTTGCTCTCTCTACGAACATTCAAAAAGCTTTCTTGAGATCTGAACTTCATCTTCCTCAACAAGAAAAAATTACGTTGGAAAAGATATTTTTTCCCCATCTTCCATATCCAACCAAGTGCAAAGCTCCTACAGTTCTTCAACACTTCAAACACCTCAACTACATATCTTTTGTGATAAAGCAAG